GTTTAGTAATAATGTTATTTTTAGCTCTCTTTATATTTATACATATGTTTGGTAAAATTCAGACACAAAGGTGTTAAAAACCTACATAGAACAATTTGAAAAGCTGCTGAACAAGAGAGGATAGAAGTTGGTTTGAAGTATGGTGATTAGCGTATACTCACTCTAACGACGGGTGGGTGGCTGGGTGGTTGGATGGGGTAAGTATGACGAATGTAATGTAACTGAGAAATCTTTTCTTTGTTTAGTAAGGGACACAGATTTAAACTATATTTTGATAAACTGTAAACACACTTGTAACGAATTAGAAACTATGAATCGATCAATTTTAGTAGACCACCATTATTAGAAACCTGGAAGCATTGTTTTGAGGGACGTTTCGTCCTGGTATGGGACTATTCATCAGTGGCAGTGCGCATCCAGGACTCCTGCACCTCGCGCAGGATTCGAACCCGGGACCTACGGTATTACAGGCGAACGCTGAGGAGTCCCATACCAGGACGAAACGGCCGTCTTTCAGTGCTTCCAGGTTTCTAATGATGATGGTCTAACATTGATCGATTCATAGTTTCAAAAATGTGTGACTTAACAATCTTCACAACCCCGTAATGCAATTATTACCTGTGCTCACTAGTGAGCGACTAGCTCAGTGAGGAGTCTTCTCCGAGTTCAAGTGGGAAGGCGTGACCAGTGAAGTTCAACCTGTTCGGGTGTGGGCAGTGTCTACCGAAGACTTCGTATGAGGTTGCGCAACTCTGTGAATTGATCGAAGTTAGACATTAACACCATTAGATATCGGCCAGCTTGGTGGTCCAGAAGTTAGGCGTTCGCCTACAATACCGAAGGTCCTGGGTTGGAATCCTGCCAGGTGTTGAAGTCGTGCTTCCAGGTTTCTAATGATGATGGTCTAACATTGATCGATTCATGGTTTCAAAAATGTGTAACCCTAATAATCTTCACAACCCCGTAATGAGAATTAGAAACTAACAAGCACTCTACACATCTGTTTCATCTTAGTATGAGACTCATCAGTAAGTTTTGAACTGCTCGTACATGGGAATCGAATTCAAGAGTCATTGGTCTCACGAGCAAACTCTTAACCTTTAGACTAGGGAGCCAGTATCCAATAGGATTGGTGTATAACTTCAGTCAATCTACGATATTGTCAGACTGTCAGATGAGCCTCTTGAATTGTGCTTTCGTCTATTATTTGCATCTGAAATTAATCCATTCAGTATCTGCGAATGTTGTTCCTTCGTTGAACTGCCATTGTTTGTCATTTTATCTTTCTGTTTTAATATTCCAACTTGAAACATGTTCTTTCTATCATCGACTTTTTTATGGACTGCTTTATTTTTCAGTCAGTCAATGAATAACAATGATAAGTGGACGCTAATGAAATGACTCTTTTGTGACTTTTTTTTGCTCTACAATCGACTTAGTATGTATTGTCGTGCAAGTTATAATAATGTATGTTGTCACTATTGTTTGACGCCTATTGTGCTGGCATTCGTTAAAGTGTGAGCCTGATCCAATATTTTCTTGCAGTTTACACGCAATGAGATATTGGAAATTTGTTTGTTGCAAGTTAATGTTTTTGACTGATTTGGTTCAATTCGTTTTCATCAAAAAAATCGCAACTGACTGAATTCACATTTTGTTGATTATATCTAATGCTAAATGTCAATCTGATGCTCAATGTGTTCAATGTGAAGAAATATGTGCGAACAAAGTTTACACGAGTTATTCGGCTGTCAAATATCTTAAACGGTGGTCATCATGAAGAAAAGTATTGACTAATGAATTTATTTCGATGTAATGCTGAAATCAGACGATTTCCCTACATTTTTCTGTCATGCTCAGTGATAAATTGATTTTCCATTTTAGCATCGATTGAGTTTATCATGGTCAATTTGTAAAACTTATAGAAAGAGAATGAACAAATTTGCTTCTTAAAATTGAAGTATTTCAATTGTGTTCATCAGACGATAAATGTCATGAAAAGCTTACAGGCTCATTGTACGCAGATGCCGAGCAACACCTTAGAAGAGATTAAGCACACATTTGACCCGAGAAGTGGGGCCAACTACAATTTTCCAACATACATGAGCAATACACATGAATGGTGCATTTTATTTTAGCTCTGTTGTTGCAATGATTCTAGGCTAAAACATTTGTAGGGTGATTATCTGAGAAATGTATTCATCAAACGTTACATTTTTAATAGCTAGTGAACCAACCTCCTCACCAGTACTGAAACTGAAAACACATATATGATGAATGCCATATTCAGTGTACTATGTTTCTTCTTTTCATGAAGATGTGATTCTATTTAATCAAACTGTTTTAACGGAAACGTTTATTGCAATCATCCGATACTGTGAACCTACGTGCGAAATTTCTCATAGTTTGTTCTACTACACTTCATTTCACACATTCTAATCAGAATAATTTGTAATTGAATTAGTAAGCTGATTAAGTGTTATCATCGAATATTATTGAAATAGATGATTACACTACTGTATCGAATTAAAAGTAAGTGATAATTGCAGATTATATCAAACTGTGATAAATAAAATTTTACTATTTATTAGTGAATACAGTTACAGAACGTTAAATGTTGTTCAGTGTATTATTACACATTACTCAATAATCAAAAGAGTTCAAGAGCACTTCTTGGTTTTCTTCAAGCACTATCTGTAAGAAAATAAGATAAGAAATGGGTGAGAACTTGCAAACTCGTCAAACTTCATTTATTGTTTACGTTCAGTCATACCAAACAATTTCTAGTTGAGCAATTGACTGAACGAAAAATCATGTGGTCAGTTGCAAATAAACAGAAAGGCTTATCTGATCACAAAGAGAAAAAATGTTGTTAGCATTGTAGCTACTGTCGAGGTGATTTCAAATGTGATTCACTTCTATAATCAAGATGTGATTCACTGTAAGCTTTTAATGCATTAGTCAGAAATACTGTGAATAATTAATTAGTGCAAACAACATAGATAATTTCAATTTCAACTACTGGATGACTACACAGTCAGTAGAAATTTGAATTTCTAACAATTCCTGACCCGGATGCAAGTCACTGGTTTTGGTGTAGATAAATAGATAAACTAGACAAATTCACGCAACTGTTAGAGCAACAAAGCAGAATAGATTTGGAACAGTCGAAACGATGATGCGTATGAATCTGGCAATATCATGTTATTTTCAATCCAGGTGACTTCTTTGTGTTAAGACCTGAAAATTGCATTTTTTATTTTCTATGAAAAGTCCCCATTAATTCTAAAATGTCATTTCAAGTAGTGTGGTTTCTGAGAATTATTAGTTTTTATGGATTTTGTTTACATAGAAGTGTGTTCACCACAATGAGTCAAATAGTTTTGTTTGTATAAGCACTCCATATCAAGGCTTGTTTTCTGGTAAGGGAAAATTTATTTTGATAGAACAGTGAGAAGACGTAATTGATCTGAAAAATGTGATGTATTTGCGTGCTATACATATTTCGAACAATCTGGTCACACATATTTACTTGTCAAGGCATTTTATATGAAGATGAATAAAAGGTCAATTAAATAAAAGTTCAAATAGACATAGGGTGATAATTGTAAATAAAGGAGAGAGAAAATTAACGTAATATGAAAAGAATAAGAAGGGGTAGGAAAATTGTCACATTACCCTAGGCTTAAAGATTACCAAGGTAAATTCAAGGTTATGACAAATTGTTTCTGCACACATAAAGTGGATTTTAATTTTCTAATAGCCAAGGCCTCCAAATGGCTATCCGCTAAAGTTTATCAATAGGTGTAGAGATCAGTTAAGACAAAAGCAAGTGTTTGATTCTGCTGAAAAGAAAAAGGTTTATATCACTTTACCATTTAGAGGTGAAGCAAATGGTCTAATAATAAGACAGAGACTAAAAGCAGCCATAGAGAAAACATACGACGCTGCTAAACTGATCATCATTGAAAAGACCAAGTCCATGATTTCGCATATACCTAAACGTTGCTCTAATGATTACATCACATCCCATTGTATTTATCAATTTACATGTTTGTGTGGACACACATACATAGGGAGGAGTAATCGACCTTGCAATCAATGGTTGTGGAACATGTACCTAAGTGGCTTCAAAATCAGTTAACGTCAGATGAGCCGATTAACGTTGGAAATAGAAAAGCATGTTCATCGATCGCCAAACACATAATTGAGACAGGGCATAAGATTGACATCAAGACAGCCTTCAAAACATTGTATAGAAATGTTGAAGGACGAATTTTGAGGTTTATGGAGGCCTTGGCTATTAGAAAATTAAAATCCACTTTATGTGTGCAGAAACAATTTGTCATAACCTTGAATTTACCTTGGTAATCTTTAAGCCTAGGGTAATGTGACAATTTTCCTACCCCTTCTTATTCTTTTCATATTACGTTAATTTTCTCTCTCCTTTATTTACAATTATCACCCTATGTCTATTTGAACTTTTATTTAATTGACCTTTTATTCATCTTCATATAAAATGCCTTGACAAGTAAATATGTGTGACCAGATTGTTCGAAATATGTATAGCACGCAAATACATCACATTTTTCAGATCAATTACGTCTTCTCACTGTTCTATCAAAATTTATAAAAGGGAGTAAATGTTTTGAAAATTTATTTGTAATTATTTGAAGCGTCTCAGAAAATCGCCTCTCTATAGAGTCATAGAAACCTTTTTTCTGGTATTGTGATAATTTTCACATGCTTTTGATGCTCATTGACAGCAGCGCTTTCTGCCATTTCTGATAACACTTGCAGTTTTTTGCGGTCCACTAGGATTAATGGGAGGCTCTATTGTGTAATTGACGTGTTATTTAGCATTATTTATTATATCGGATTGTTGATTATCGCCTGTTATTTATTAAGTGTCTTTTGAATCATTACTTACATTTGTGATATTTATTTCGTAATTGTGTTATAAAGATTTATTAATATCTGTTTCTCGCCTGAAAATAAGAATTACAAAACAATCTACTGTACGCTTGAATGAACATGAAAATTGATTGTGTTGAATGTGTATTGCCAGTTTACTATGCTTGAGTATACGAATAAAAACTTTGTTATGCATAGTTAATATTCAAGTTAAATTGGATTTCGTTTCACGTAACTGTTTTACAAATAATCCTTAAAACACATGAATATTACTTACTGTGAAAATTGTAATACCCATACTCGTAAAACGCCTTATTCCAAGCAAGGTCCTGCAGATACTGAAAATCTAAACAAAAAAAAAAAGGCAGATACTTTATCAAAATGCAATGTCAATGGATATTTCTTCATTTATTTTCATAGCATATAGATTTGCATATGGAAATCACTTCGACTAATGTTTATTTATTCAAGTCAACAAAAATGTCCTGTCATAAAAACAGAAGTTTAGGCTTTCCTACTAATTGTCCAAAGGCACGACAGTTTGTATACTTGTTTTTAAGAAACGAAAGTGAGTTCTCTAGTTTACAGTCAGTCGATAACCATACAGTTAACGTGCAAGGTGTTTGTAATGACGGAATCACAAAACACAAATCAAACTCCTTTCTACGACTGTCTGTGAAGTAGCCATTACAACTTCTGCGTCTCTGAATTCAAAATCAAAATCAATAGATAGTGACGATAGTGAAGACCGATCAAATGAAACACAACCAAGATATGAGTAACAATAATACCGTGAAACAATTATTCACATAGACTGGAATAGTTTACCGTTACGAAAGTATATCAAGATTACCTTCCAAGGCAGTTGGTCCATATTGATCACATTTTGTCAATTGTCTCTCTGTGGGGAATATTGCAATAAAACTAACGCTAATGATATGTTGATTTATGATAACTATCTTAACATTTATCTCTGCATTCAATTACACAGCAAATTTCTTTTTTTTAATCCCCAAATAAGGTCATAATTCTCATAATTTCATATCATTATGTCGTTTATTGAATCTTCAACAACTCCGGTTTATTGATATGAAAAGTTAATTGAGATTCAACTAAGTGGATGAGATAATTACCTCTTCGTATTGTTCATACTCTGTTATGTCAACACAACATAACAAAATAATCCTTAACTACTTTTTCTTGGAAACTTCTTTATCAAAATGTCTAGTATAAATATTGCACTGTAACGTGTCTGGTTACATTCAGCCTACAGCTAATACAGACAGTTGTTCACTCGATGACTGTTCTCGAGTTAGAAAAATTCAAATTTGAATGTTTCTGATCAGTGGTGTCAATGTGTTAGTTAGTATGTTAGTTTCTCAAGCAATATAGAATTCCTATCCTACAGAATATCGGATGAAGTGGATAGGATAACAAACAATATTCGTTATCTTTGTTTTAATGAAAAAAACGTACTGTTATAGAACTCAATTTGATTGTCTATACAAGACTCATATGCACGCAATTTGTTTAGGGTTTCATCGAAATTGTTTAGTATTAGGAATACTAATTTAAAAGAAAGTAAGAAAAACATGAACAAATACTGAATACTATTATCTGGAATGATCAAGGATATGATGGACTTGATTTTGAAAAGCTGATGTTTTTACATCATACATCTGGAGTGATGAGTAAAATTCAGCAATTGTTACGTGATTTGTAAGTAACAACTACAAAAACCCCAACTAGATGAAAGTCGATCAGCTGTGAAGTAATCATTGTGGATATATGAGAAAAAAAAAGCACAAATCTCTTATTGAAACAGTCGGAAATTTTAACTTAGTCTAACTGAAGAAATGGTCGGAAGACTATCCAGAAAAATTACAGGTCTCATTGTGGAACCTTGTACACATGGAGCTATTTTTATGTCCTACATTAGTTATATGAAACATCCTGACTCATTCGGAATTAATTTCAGTTCATCTTTCTTCACCTCCACGTGCATTGCTCGATTGCTCGTCTATGTGTTTCTGTACAGAGACAATAATGCGAACTGATAGATTGTTATGCATAACACAGTAATCAGTCTTCTGAATATGTACTCAATGAAGATTTGCATGTATAAATCCAATATGTATCGCCTTGTAAATCACAGGCTGTAGTTAATAACGTTATCAACTAAACGTACCGTCAAATTGACTAATCAACTTTCCAATAAACGTTTTCAATTCTGAGTTAAATTCAAAGGTATGTATATCAGTAATATATTTAAATAAAACGTCATTGCATCATTTCAGTATAAATCTCGAAAAACCCATACTATATGTTGTTTCCTAAGAAGATTTTAATCAAGAAACACACCAAGCGTAGTGAATGTCCTAGCTAAAGTGGAACAGTTCTTGCTTGACAATTTCGATCACTCATACTAATTATCATATAAATGTTGGTACGTGTACAACGTCAGTATCATGTATATACTGGTCATTTGTTTCAAATTTAATTACTTACTCACTTACGCTTGTTATCCTCGATAAAGAAAAGGCCGTCGACCAGTATTCTCCAACCTACTCTATTATGGACCTCCTTTTCTAGTTTTGTCCAATTTTTGTTCATTCTTCTTATGGAAGAATAAAGCTTAATATCGTGCAATCTCACAAGCATTTACCTCAGAAAGATTTGCATTTGCATGAAACGCAATCAATTACTTTGAAGTGCACTACACAACTTATCGTGACGTGTTTAGGGAGATTACTGTCCGTGATAAAATTCTATAGTTTTAGTGATGACCGAATTCCATTGTTCATACGTGAGTGTCGGCTCTCATATCTATGTTGTAAAGAATATGAGTTTGATTTACGTGTGCATGATTCGCGAACAATTAAATGAAACACGTTGAACATTAAAGAAAAATAATATGATTGTTTCCTCAAACCTAGTGAACGTGACAAGGTTTCCGAGATTTTGAAATTTCGACTTTCACAAGTTACATCTACAAACGTAAATGTTTACAAATGAAAACGGCGATGCTTCACTTACAATCATTAATGGGTTTGTTTGCAGGATGTAGATAATCATTTACGTATTCTGAATAAATACAAGAAAAAAAACAAAGGACTAATTTCGAGAGAATGTATTTCATTTGTCTACAGAAATTAGTTATCGCAGAATGAACACCTACTTCAATTTCCACTGGACCTAATACAGTGGCACATCCTTTTATTCTAAGTAACTAGATTAGCAATGACAAAATAGTTGGATGCCAGTTTACACAACTTGTATTCTGTACTAAGATATTCAAAATGATATCGTGTAAACTATGATCATATTGCCCATTTCCTTGATGTATTCTATTGATTAGTCGAATCGGTAGACAAATTCTATCTCAGATGGAACACAAATGAGAGTAAGTTATCATAGATATTGGTGTTTCACTTGTTGCTTCTTTTAGCAAACAATCACCTCTCACATTCATATTGGGGTATTTTCATTTGTTCAAATTATCATTTCTTTGATCGTGATTTAAATGAATCATGAATATTGATTATTTTATGTCATGTTTATTATCTGTTCACAAACAAATATATGAAAAAAAATATTAGATGAAAGTTATCATAGTTGAACTATTATTGTTAGGGTCATGGCTTAACGAATGTTATGTGTGGGTATATAGTTCTGAGAACTGAATTTAAAATATTCACTATTGGCCAACATCAGTTAATCAATCAGTCCAAATGTTTAGTATGAATCATGCAGTTTAATTTTTTTTTTAAAAAAGGGAAAAAAAACAACAGAATAAAACACTTACTTGTAAAATATATCAGTTCTTCATCATAATATGCTGACATCATCGAAAAGTAGACTTCATTACCTACATTTTTAATGGAAATATGTCAATCCAATTCACAATTTAGGATACATGTGTATGAAAGACTGTAACATAAGTATAATCTAATTATGTGGTTTAGCAGATATGCCCTCAACACTACATACTACTGCTAAGTTAAAAAATTTTGTTAATCACGGTGCATTATTGTGGAAATATTTGACCTTCATAACATCTATTTTGCATTGCAATGAGCTTCCATATTCTAATTATGTAGGTTTATTGATGAAAAACAATTTTCACCAGAATAATTGTGATAACTTTGTTGGTGATATACAATTCATTTAGTGGAGATTTGTTTCAGGTATCTGTGTATTTGCCTAACAGAAGTGAATTGCATTGGATGACAAATCGTCACAAATACAAATTTCTACTCATCATACATTATATCTCAATATCACATTTTAAATGGAAATATGTCAATCCAATCCACAATTTAGGATATATGTGTTAATGATCATTATAAATACTGCTTACCATCGGCGTTTTCTAGCTTTCTATTCAAGCTTTTCATCATCAATGATGAATATTCTGAAATCAATTGAGGAAACAGTGTTGTTGTTGTTGTTGTTGAGAATATGTTCGAATTTACCCGAAAATAATCAAGTCATTCTTGATAACATTTACATAACATGTAAGTGAGTACATATGTATTCAAGGATTGAATGAACAGTTTATTATTTAACGTGTGACAGCATAGTTCACTACTGCGACTATCTATCACATTTTTTGTAGGTTATGAATCGGTTAAGATATTTTCATCGCCTGGAAATTCACATTCATGCATTCACATTTCTCATTAATAAACCGATTTTGAATGTAATAACTTAACTAGTTGTAGTGAATGAATGCACTTTTATGAAGAGAACGCGACTGATGTAATGGAAAAATTCATCTTCATAAACAGTTGCACCGGTGATTATGTTTTTTTTTTTACTGTACTTTTTTTTCGATTACACTTTGTACACGCCAACTTTCTATTTGTGTTGCTGCTGCCATTTTCGTTGCATCACTTTTGTATTTCTCGCCCTAGTTTTCTGCCCTGATTTCAATATTCTTTCGATAACACCGAATCGTTAGCAAATATATTTATTTACTTGTATGGATTCGCAAATCATTGCTTAGTAATGATCATAGTCAATTTCGTCGATTCGTCGATTCGCGTCAATACATAATTATGAAAGCATGACGAATGTAGTTCATTCATAGAATAAAAAAAAAATTATTTTAATGGATAAATTAACTCAAAGCTACAATATTATTTTGAATAATACAATATGAACTAAAAATCTCCTTTTCCCAAATTGAAACACACACACACACACACCAAAAAAAAATGACAAACATAAATATTTCCAATGGATAATTTATTCAAAATATCATACAAGAAAGTGTTTATAACTTACCAGATCCACTGGATATATGAATGTACAAAACGAAAATGTTCAAATAAAACAGGACAGTTAATTTCATTTTTTTTCTTTTTTTGGTACAGACCATTTACTTATTCTATTCTAGAATTTATACAATTTGTGAACATTGATAATCATTGGTCAGTGAGTGTAGTTTAATGCAAAAGCAATTTCAAATGAAATAATCAAATCAAAATGGATTGTAATGCAGCGCGCGTAAGGTGGACATATCCAACGGAAATTATATACATTGTTCCATCTTTTTTAAATTAAAACAATTTGACTGCAGAATTATATAACAGAACTCTGATAGGGGAAATTGGTTGAAACTTATTTAAGATTGACTTTAGAAGTATTTTTGAAATAAGCACTTTTAAAACAACAACCAAAGAAGAAGAAGAAGAAGAAGTCCGATCGGTTAGGCAGCATAGAATCTTGCTCAGTACATGTAATGTATCAAAATAACGCTGTAAATTGTGTTCCAAATTGGTCAATGTTTGGTCAATGTACCAAATTTGCATTACGGGGTTGTGAAGATTGTTAAGTTATACATTTTCGAAACCATGAATCGATCAATGTTAGACCAACATTAGAAACCTGGAAGCACTGGACGGCCATTTCGTCCTCGTATGGGACTCCTCAGCAGTGCGCATCCACGGCTCATGCACCCTGCAGGATTCGAACCTTCGGTATTGTAGGCGAACGCCTAACTTCTGGACCACCAAGCTGGCCGATATCTAATGGTGTTAATGTCTAACTTCGATCAATTCACAGAGTTGCGCAACCTCATACGAAGTCTTCGGTAGACACTGCCCACACCCGAACAGGTTGAACTTCACTGGTCACGCCTTCCCACTTGAACTCGGAGAAGACTCCTCACTGAGCTAGTCGCTCACTAGTGAGCACAGGTAATAATTGCATTACGGGGTTGTGAAGATTGTTAAGTCACACATTTTTGAAACTATGAATCGATCAATGTTAGACCATCATCATTAGAAACCTGGAAGCACTGAAAGACGGCCGTTTCGTCCTGGTATGGGACTCCTCAGCGTTCGCCTGTAATACCGTAGGTCCCGGGTTCGAATCCTGCGCGAGGTGCAGGAGTCCTGGATGCGCACTGCCACTGATGAATAGTCCCATACCAGGACGAAACGTCCCTCAAAACAATGCTTCCAGGTTTCTAATAATGGTGGTCTACTAAAATTGATCGATTCATAGTTTCTAATTCGTTACAAGTGTGTTTACAGTTTATCAAAAAATAGTTTAAATCTGTGTCCCTTACTAAACAAAGAAAAGATTTCTCAGTTACATTACATTCGTCATACTTACCCCATCCAACCACCCAGCCACCCACCCGTCGTTAGAGTGAGTATACGCCAATCACCATACTTCAAACCAACTTCTATCCTCTCTTGTTCAGCAGCTTTTCAAATTGTTCTATGTAGGTTTTTAACACCTTTGTGTCTGAATTTTACCAAACATATGTATAAATATAGAGAGAGCTAAAAATAACATTATTACTAAACAAATACACAGTTCACATTGAGATGGCTTGCAGATGTGAGGTGATTTTTATCACAGATTGATGACTGTTAACTTATTAGGTCAGCTGTAATATAATTAAAAGGTTGTGTGAATGTGAGCTTAATACCAAACAATTTAAATTCAACACTTTCGTAAATTACTCTGCATTATTGTAGAAATACTCCACACACATAAACACACTCTAACACAAACATCGATATTGCGTACAAATGAAACTACACAGTCTAATTATGAAGGTACGGATTAACTTCAGATGCAAATAATAGACGATAGCACAATTCAAGAGGCTCATCTGACTGTATATATTTTATACTTACTTCTAATGGAATTTTGAATTCAGCGATTCTCGATGAGCGCTGTTTGCTAGCACATGTCAAACAAATTCACTGGTTCTCAGATTCAGTCGGACAGTGATTCTCCATACAGGATCACGCATAAATGACAATTTCTTCTTCGGCTTTGAGATATTCCAGTAGATTAGTTATTCCGAAATAATATGAAATACAAAACTTTCCGTCAATCTAAAACATCATACAATGAATTTTCCTAATCACACAAATAGATAGATAGAGGTAAAAATAGCATTGTTACTAAACAAATGTACAGTTCACATTGAGATCTGACTCGTTTTGGATCATCAATGTCAGAATTTTCAATTCCTACTGATTGTGATATTACTAAAAAGCCGTGATTGTTCGGTCATTATTATTATTACCTAAAAACTATCAAACTTAAACTTGATATTGATACGTGCAATGTCTGTTATGTCTAAATCAATACACTGAAAGTTGTCAAACATGATGAATATATATGGGTGGGTCATTGAACAAAAAATCATTCAAGTGTTTGTGACTTTCCATTTTGTATGAATGCATAAAAGAGCAAGGAGAAGTCGTTCACGTGAAATAGTAATACAGAAATCATTTCTGCTGGAACGATTCATTGTTTTCTCTGTTTATGCCATTCGTTAACTCTGATTATTGATCTGTGAGGCTTGATACAAAGTAGATGTAAATGAATTACCAAGTAAGAAAGATTTAAATGGGGCAGTGACAATTTATTAAGTCTAATTCATGTGTGATGCTCATTGGTCAGACTGAGAAAGTCTAACGAAGGAATTATTATCCTAATGAAGCGATATGTTTGAGAAAATTTGTAGATTACATTGGGATGTAAACTAGCAGATCATGCACACCTCGAAGAAAATAGTCTACAATCACTAAATTTCTCAGTCCGATTGTCGATGACAACTGAGAATACTATAAAATTTTGTCTTGCGCACTACTAGTCTACCGAAGAAATGTAACATGGCAAACAAGTCACATTCTATCCACTGCTCGATTGCTTGGAAATATTGTAGGCTCAGCCTGGTATTGATCTCAACAATTCAAGTTGTTCACTTGTTACAGATGTATGAAACAACAACTTGAATTTCAGATTGTCTGAGAGTTTCATGGTAGTAAACATTATCTCGGACTGATGGATCTAGATTAACTTTCATGGTGAAACAAGATGAAAATGCACCATTCGTTTGCATTTCTCATATACATTAGAAACATTATAGTTACTCTTTTCTCGGGTCAACCGACTACATTGTCTTTTCAGAGATGCCATCTGTAAGCTATGTGTATATGTACAAACGAGACTGTAAGGGTTCCATGACTTTCCATCACCAAATGGACGAAATCATAATGCTTCATTATAAGTGTATGAACCACACTTCAGAATCTTTAGAAGACATATCGTTAATACACTCTCGATAAGCTATATCAATATCAATTGTGATAAATATACTAAATCGTAAATCAATAATTTGCATGTGTTGAGTTGGATAGAAGGGGTGATAGATTTAGGCGGTGGTGCACAATCGTACCACTATCTGTAGAGCAAACCTATTGGTCGGTTATCAGAAGAACGCCGTTCACTGACACGTTTCATGCGAAATCTCACGTGGTCAAAGTCAGACAGACAATGACTGTTCATGCCGCATTATTGATAAATGTGAAATTCTTCTTTGAGTGCTA